GGGTTAAAACACTTCTAAATTGGACTTATCAATAAAAATCCCCACATGATGTGAGTCCGATGCCCATATGTGAGTCACACGCTCATGTGAGACATTTGGTATAAATATTGATAAAACATTTGAATTTGTAACATTTCTCATTTTTTATAGTTTACCCCAACAGACGATGAACTGAGCAGCCATTTTTCAAATTGCCCTCTTATCCTTGGCATTTGCCCCTGGTGGATATGCCTCTTTTTCCAAGAAGTTCCAGACATCGTAATACCAGGGGTTCTCATCTTGAACCTCTTCTATGGCAGCAATCAGCTCGTGGGCCGGCACAAATTTCTGTTCGATGATGATCGGACGCATCCGGACTCCAAAAGGGATGTCTATCATGGATGATAACAGTACTGTTAGTCGTGGAAATAATTGGTTTCGGCGACTAATTGGATTTTGGTTGCCAAATAATGCAGTTTCACCGACTATGTTTTTGGTAGCCAAATGTGCCAGGAAATTGTGGAGGGAATATTAATTTTTCATTACATATATTAGCGACGAAAATAATTTTTGGTCGGTAATAAATATTTTTTTCTTTTATTTTCATTGCAAAAGTATTCCATTTCCCTCAATCTCGCACTCCTGCCTCTATCACTGCTCTGTCTCCATTAATTAGCTTAATTTGAGATTGGATTTGTAACTAACTATTCTTTTTGGAAAAAAAAAAATTGTATTTTTTAATTATCAATTGATTTCATCGCTTTTTATTTATTTATTTTTAAATTAGCTTAATTTGTGATTGTAATTTTTTTACATGCCATTTAATCTGTGTTTTTTGAAAAAAGAAAAGATTGTATTCATGTTTTTCTGAATACAATCACAAGGGGTGTGTTTGGTAACATTTACATTTTCAGTTTATATTTACAAAAATTTTACAAACTGATTTTTGTTTATTTTTTATTGTATTTTTTAATTATCAATTGATTTCATCGCTTTTTATTTATTTATTTTTAAATTAGCTTAATTTGTGATTGTAATTTTTTTACATGCCATTTAATCTGTGTTTTTTGAAAAAAGAAAAGATTGTATTCATGTTTTTCTGAATACAATCACAAGGTGATTGTATTTTTAATTTATGTTTTTTGAAAGCAAAAATTAGATTGTATTTATTAGGTTCACATAAAATACCCACTAGTAATAATGATATGATTGGATTGTATTTTATGATTGTGATTGGACTTAATTTTTTTTTTCAATACGGTGATTTTTTTTTAATCTATGTTTTTTGAAAAAAAAATTAGATTGTATTAATTAGACTCACATAAACTACGCATTATTGATGATGATGATTAGATTATATATTGTAATTAGGGTTTTTAACTCATTGTATTTTTTTTTTAAAAAAAGGTTGTGCTTTTTAACTATTAATTAGCTTAATTTATGATTGGATTTTTAACTAACTATGCTTTTTGAAAAAAAAAAATTATAGTTTTTTAATTATCAATTGACTTCATTGCTTTTTTTTTAATTAACTTAATTTGTGATTGTGTTTTTTACACTCCATTCTAATCGCACGGTGATTTTATTTTTTTTAATAATTGTGTTTTTTTACACTCTATTTAATCTGTATTTTTTGAAAAAAGAAAAAATTGTATTCATGTTTTTTGAATACAATCACACAATGATTGTATTTTTAATTTATGTTTTTTGAAAACAAAAATTAGATTGTATTTATTATGTTCACATAAAATATCCATTATTAATGATGATATGATTGGATTGTATTTTGTGATTGTGAATGGACTTAATTTATTTTTCAATATGGTGATTGTTTTTTTAATCTATGTTTTTTGAAGAAAAAAAATTAGATTGCATTCATTAGACTCACATAAACTACGCAGTATTGATGATGATGATGCAATTTTAGAGGTTTTATCAAAATATATTGGTTAAATTTGTTTGATTTGAAATAAATTAAGGATTGACCTAATTAAAGATTAAATAACTAAGATTGTTTGATTTGAAATAAACATCCCACCCAAATAATTGTTAATTTTTAAACAATTAAGAAAATTTTAATTTGTTAACTTTTATTTTATAATTCTACATCGAGAAAAGAAAAAAAAAGTGAATTGTTTCACTTACATAACGTGAATCTTCTACTCCCATTTATATAAGCAAAATTAGATTTTTAGTGAGAAGCCTTATGATCAATGTCTCATATGAAATAAATTAAGGATTGACCTAATTAAAGATTAAATAACTAAGATTGTTTGATTTGAAATAAACATCCCACCCAAATAATTGTTAATTTTTAAACAATTAAGAAAATTTTAATTTGTTAACTTTTATTTTATAATTCTACTCGAGAAAAGAAAAAAAAAAGTGAATTGTTTCACTTACATAACGTGAATCTTCTACTCCCATTTATATAAGTAAAATTAGATTTTTAGTGAGAAGCCTTATGATCAATATCTCATACTAATTTTTTAATTTTAAACAATTAAGAAAATTTCAATTGACTAGCTTTCATTTAACTTTTATTTTATATAATATAAAAAATTAAATATTATTATCATATTTTCATTAAATAATATAGTATTTTATCATAGTACAGATGATGTGTTAGTATTTTTATATTTAAAAGTGAACATACATTTAAGAATACAAAAAAAATGCACATAAAGTTTAGCTATTTGTGAATATAGTTACATTTAACATCAAAGCACATGAAAAAAAAATTATACATTATATGAAAATATGTACATTAAAAAATGTATAATTTTTTTAAACATTATTAAAATATAGCATAGTATATTAACAAAGTCTTTTTTTTTTTTACTTATAATGAATTGATGTTATATTTGTTCGCAGTTCTGAAATATAGAAAACATATTTAATATGTGTGACGATGTTTTCAATTAAAAATATCACTGTCAAACCAAGGCCGGAGTAACTTTGCCCTTCTGGGCCGGAGTATCTATTGCGGCCTTCTTACTTTGTCCTTCGCGTTTTGGGCCTCAATGCCCAACTCGCGGCTCGGCCCAATTTTTTCCAAAAATTACCCTCTCACATAGTATATTAACAAAGTCTTTTTTTTTTTTTACTTATAATGAATTGATGTTATATTTGTTCGCAGTTCTGAAATATAGAAAACATATTTAATATGTGTGACGATGTTTTCAATTAAAAATATCACTGTCAAACTTTATCCATCAACATTTAATAATTTTTGCATAAGTGAGCAACATTTATGAGTTAGTTAGGAGTGGCAGCTGAGGGGGGGGGGGGGGGGGAGACAAATTTACTTCATTTTTGGGCAATAATGGGCAATAAGTATCGATCTACTTTATTGGAATTTTATGAGCAATTTATTTTTTTGCCTATATTTTTGGTGAAGCGTTTAAGCTTTTTTGGAAATTTATAATTTTCTTATCTTTGTAATAAATAGATTGGTTATGTATAAAAATAAAAATAAAAGCACTTAGTCACTTTTTTTTTTTTTTAATTTTTTATTTTATAGTAGTAGCTCACTTATATGAAAGTGCTTAAAGCCCTGTTTGGGATAAAGGTTGGGATTAAAATAGCTATATATGATAAAATATATAGAATAGGTTATTTAACCAAATATGATAAAATGTCACATTACTACTAGAAAAAGTACTTTTTGCGATCGTCACAAACCATCGCAAATAATAAAAATACCGTCGCAAAAGGCCTTTTGCGACGGCTCATGCGACTGCATATGGGGGACACGAATGTGGGGGTGGCAAATACTTGTTGCAACAGCAAAACAGCGATTGCAAATTATTTGCAACCACCTAAACTACTTACAGTGACTGCTATTTTGCCGTCGCAAAAAATAAAAAAAAATACTAACAAGTTTTTTGGCGAACATTTTGTTACCGTCACAAATAGTTTTCAATGACATTTATAAATAGTACAATAATAGCTTTTTAACAACGAATTTTTTGTTGTCGCAAATAATTTTTTAAAAAATCTAAATAATATAACTAGATTTACATAATACGCCTTTCATAAGCCATGATACAAGCACATGCCTCTAAATGACTCTATGTGCTTGTGAAACTTCAATTTTGGCCAAAATTGCATCTCTCTCTTCCTGTTGACCAAAACCAAGTTAACATTTCAAAGACATGTTTTGACAACACAGCAAGACATTTGCAAATAAAAAACAGAGCAATCAAGGAAAAAATAAAGAACTCCAATGAAGATAGTCAGAATGGTTGATGGATGAGAATGAGAGATCTGGCTAGGACTACCACATCAAGTTAAAATGTGGGTGGTAGTAATATGTACTTCATGCACAACATAAAAAAGAAAAAGATTCTCCTCGAATGGCAATTTTATCAAAACATTAATATATATATCCACATTTCAGGAGTATCCAAAAATAAATAAATAAATAAGAAGAAGAAAAGAAAACCACAGTTCCCTTCAACATTAACAGGTTCACTACAACACTGTGGTTGCCACACCGAGAGATTTGCATAAGAGCAATTTAAGTAACTTCAATAGCACTCAACAAGCAGAAATTATCACCAGTTGACAACTCCAAACTCCAAAATAATGTAAATTCATGTAATAACTGGAGGAAACGAAGTCCTAAAGAAGAAGGTTAACAGCAGCACACCTAATGTGAAATTACCTGAAACTAAAAATTATTGAACTCATGCCAATACCTGATACAGATAAGTTCGAAAACAAAGGAAGAATTAGCAAGCAAATATTTTGATAGACCAGTATAAATCATATAAAATATACAAAAGAGTAGAGATTTGAAGCAAAATTGCAAAACAGAGTCGAAAAGTTCAAGATGTTGAGGAAGTTGAGGATGGCAAACCACATAAGATAAACATAGACGAAAACTCACTCCAAGAAAAGGACAACCTCATAAAAAATTACAACAAAAAAAAAAAAAAACAAGGAAGAAAAAACGTGGCCTGTATAAGTAGACATGAAGTCTTTAAATACTAGACCTAGAAAGATTTACTTTGCGTATATTATCGGGAGGTCGTAGAAACACCTTTTTCTGATCAGCTGACGCTACTGAGGAATGTAAAGGAAGAAGCCACTCAGAAGACCTTCCACCAAATTGGTAAGAAGCAGCTAGTTTATCAAATAATGTGTGGATCTCTGAAACTCTCTATCATGCAATTTATGCAACAACAATTACTTCAGCAATTAATCAAAGACACATACTATGTTTTTCCAATAAAATCAAAACTACATAAATGACACGTATGAAAGCATTCATTGGACTTACTGGTAAGAAAACCAGTATGGCGCCCTCTGGGTGTGTTTCATCAATGTAATGCACCAGATCTTCAAGAAGATCATAATCAATAACATCTTCATTCAACCTTCTCTGTGGTAGATCAGGAAAAATTATAGGGTCACCATCCTAGATAAAGCAACAGTTATATGTTATGAACACTTAAAAAGTACATCTCCAAGATGTTTACCGAATTCTTTCAAGTTTGATCACTATATGTTTGATAAGTACTCGGAATATAGTATGGGTTTATGAAATCTTCAGACAGAATTGATTCATCTCCCCATCCAGATAAAACTAGATTTTTCTTCCCCTTGTGGTTGCTAACAGGATCATTCTGCAGCCATGAAATTGAAGAATTCATAAGGATTGATTTTCAAAATAATACTTCATTAACTACAAATCAATAAAGGAAATAACTCACATAAATAAAACACTATAAGCTTCTGTACACTCTACATGAGTACCAAAGAAAATAGGTAAGATAACATGTACTAGAGCAAAGTACAAAATCTTATATTTCACATTTTATCTTACAAAATGCTTATTGACAAGGGAGAGGGTGAAAGCTACAGATCTGGGGGTAAAAAAAAGGACAAACTTGAAATCTTAAAAGTAATAATCTAAGATCCACATATTAAGATACCTTCTTTGTAGATGTATCATCTCTTAGATAAGCTAGAGAATCTGAAGCAAGACGATAGTTAATACTTTCATATATATCCTGAGAAAGTGTGTTGAGACAGGATGTGTTCGGCCTTGAGCAGTAATTACTACGCAGCGACTGAAGTATCTTGAAACAGATCTGAATCAACAGTTACTGACCTGAACATTGGAGATATAGATAAACACACAAGAGCAAAACAAACTTTGCAATTATGAACAAACATATAGAATAAGCACTATTTATGAGCTGGAACTAGACATAAGAATAACTTTCAATTTTGGGGTGCTATGAGCAGATTGCTTCTCAATCAGGTTCTTTAAAACAAAGTAGAAAATCACCCTGTTACGAAAAACACAAACTTGTAAAATTGTTCCAAACCGATCTTCAATGGTTCTGTTATACCTTCTATATTTTGTAGCCAAAATAAATATGAAATATGAAAATATTACCAAATCAAACCAAGCCTTAAGTCCCATCAAATAGGGTAAGCTAAATATGAAAATATTACGTTAATAAAAAAAACTACTTTGGTGAACCCTGTAATCTAGTGAACAGCAACCAAAGCCAATGATAACTTTGCTTTAATTTATCAATGATCAATAATTTGATATCAATTGCTGTGATAAAAGCAAATAAATAAATAAATCATATGAGAATGGACTCTCAAGGGCATATTGCTTACAGTTAGAAATACTATCAAATCATCAATCAAAAATTAAAGTGAAAGTAATTCAAAACAGGTACTAGGAATAAGCAACATGGTCGGCATGCCAAGATAATCTAATCTGTATGAAGCCAAACATGATAATTTAAAAGCTATCAATGAACGAAAAGCTACAAAAGTTGATAGGTGGCACTTAAAGGTCATTATACCATACAATAGAAAATGCTATCATAAGAACATGATCATCTTATTCCCAAATTTCAGATTACCAGGTTTTAGTTAGACCATGGAAAAATCTATCAACTTCTGGAATAAGCAGGTTTCACATGAAGAGTTGCTTAAAGATGACTAGAAACACCAACCTACTTCAACAATTAATTTAGGAAGAGGAGATGGAGGTGGAAAACTGGTAAAACAACTAACACTGATAGAAAGGCGATCAGACAAAAAAATTTAGTTTCTTTTCCATCGAAATGGCCAAAATGTTTCTGTTTCCTAGAAAATCAACACAAATCATTAGAGGAAAAACAAAATTCCACTGTTTTCATCAAAACATAACAAAATGACCTGAAACTCATCGAAACTTACCGCAACAATGATTTGTTCCAACACATATCAGGATTCTCAAATGCATTGATAGGACGCTATGTACACAATGAAGCTCAAAGATAGTCTTTGTGTGTGTGTGCGCGCGTGTGCATAATGTAGGTGAATTTTGAGGTAGATGAAACGCATAAGCTTACTCTGCTGCATTTGAGTGCTCCGAGAGAACTTTTCCATGGCAGAGTTAGGGTTTCTCTGCGACGAATCGCGCAAATTGCAGAGAGAGAGTAGATAATTGTACGCAGATACAAAGAGAGCGAGATAGTGTGTGTGTGTGTGTGTGTGAGAGAGAGAGAGAGAGAGAGAGAGAGATTGAGAGATCAAGAGAAGGAGAGAGATTGAGAGATCAAGAGAGGGAGAGAGATTGAGAGATCGAGATAGAGAGATCAATCGATTGAGATCAAGAGGGATAGAAAGATTCATACCAGTGAGCGAGAGCGAGAGAGGGAGGTTGAGCGAGCCAAGGTAGGGCAAAACTAAGGAAATGGAGCAAATAAATAAAAGAAAATAGGGGAAATAAATGTTAAATATAAATTGGGTTTTTTTTTATTTTTATTTTTTTTATTTTTTATTTTATTTTATTTTTTTTTCGACGGTCAAACAAGCGGTCATAAAAAAATAGTCGTAAAAAGTCATTTTTCTAGTAGTGCATCAAACTCATAATTATTTTATTTTTTTATCACAAAAATAAAAAAAGCTAAAAACTCTATACCAAACATGACTTTTTAACTCTAAATTAAAATAGCCAAAAAATCAATCCGTGTACCAAATCAATCCTAAATTGCGAGCATTGTAGGCAGGAGATATTAGAGTTTTTTAAACACTTTTTATTACACATTATAGGCAGGAGTTCCAATACCATAATTACCTTTTTGACTTGTGGCTTATTATTGGTAGAGTACCCACTAAATAAAGTGTTTAAACAAAATGTAAAATATATATATATATTTTTTCTTTTGAAAAAAAAAGGATTTGATCATAAAATAAATTTTTAAAATTTTAATTTTATCAATTTAAATATTAACCTTTTAATTTGGTTTCAATCTAAACTATTTGCTTATTTTTGTTAAGTAAAATTGAAAAAAAGAAGAAGATATTTTAGTCATAAACTCAATGAGAAATGCTATTTTAGACATTTTATGTATATCTACATTGAGTTTAATAACTAAAATACTCTTTTTTTTCATTGATTTTACACGGTAAAGCTAGACTAATGTTTTAAATTGTAAACAAATCAAAAGATTAGAGTTTAAATTGACATAATTAAAAATTCAAATTTTGTTTTGTTAGAAGGGTCAAACCCTAAAAAATTTTTTGTTGTTGTAATTGCCCCTATATTGTTTATCTATTTTTATTAGGCAAAATGCCTGTTAAAATTACTCTAACATGTTTTTTTTTAACACAATAATGCCACAATAACTATATATGTGTACCATAAATATCTACTATTTTATGTGCCACTATAACTCAAATATGATCATTAAATTATTATTGTTCTAACTAAAGCTCTAAAAATAAAAAAATAATTTTATTAACAAGTATCGTTAAATAGTTGTACATAATTTTGTTTATAAGAGTGCCAATCAGCTAATATTTTCTAGAATTATTAGATGATGTTGAAGTAGTATTAACTAATATATGAATAGATAAATATTGCTATTGAAAATTAAAAATTCCAATACACATTAGCTGTGACTAGCATTAAAAGAAGCCACCGATTATTACTTTCATGCCTTGTCAAAGAAAGCACAATTTACATTCGAGGCCTATTTATCGAATTGAATCAACCAAGGACTTGGGGGACTATAAATTTGGCAGTGCACACTAAGGTCTTGTTTGGCAATTATTTATTTTAATCAAAAAGTTAAAAAATTGTTATAAGTTGTCATATTATTCTCATTATTTTCTTATACATCTTTTCATAAAAAGTTAAAAAATTACTAAAATAATTTATTTCTAAACGAGACCTAAGTCTCCTCTAAATGTACAAGTACAACCGTAATAAAAAAAAATTCAGAGGACCCAGTAAAAATCCTGATTTATTTATGTACATAAGCCAATTACTTTTGGGCAGCCCTATAATAATTCACTACAACAAAAAGGTTTTTAGTGACGAAAACACATAATGAAAAAAAATTTCGTCTCCAAATATACATGTTTTAGAGATAAAAGTAAGATTTCGTCTCTAATTGTACTATTTTTAGAGAGAAAAACCAAATTTCGTTACAAAATGCTTAAAATCAATATAATAATAGGTGACGAAAATTTTATTCGTCTCTATATTTTATTTTTCGTCGCAAAAAAAATTCCCGCCCTTGAAAAATTTTGAAGAATATTTGGGAGCCATTTTAAAGACGAAAATTTTTGTCACCATTGTACAAAACTATCTGCGATGAAATAATTTCGTCTCCTATATTTTTATTGTGCAAACCGATGTCGTTTCATGCTATAAGTGAGAAGCCCTCTTTGTTTGCCCAAATCAATTCCTATTTTGCAAAGCCCTCTTTGGGTTAGACATGAGTACCTCTTTAAATGGATTTTTCTACCACCATTGCCATCATTCCAACACCACCATCATCTCTGTCGCCACAGATGCATCATTGCTGCTGCCATTACCATTACTGCTGCCATTACTCCACTACCAACTCTCCTCCATTTCCATCGCTATAACCGCCACTACTCCACAACCACTGTCGTTACTACTCCACTACCGTTGTCACTCCACCACTACTATCACTACTACCACCACCTATTTTCCACCACCGCCATCACCACTCTTCCACTGCTGCCACTAACTCTCTTCCACCACCACTGCCACCACCGCCATCACCTTTACACCACCACCGCTACTACTTCACCACCACTGCTACTCCACTATTGCTGCCTCCGCCACTGCATCTCCACCACTCTCATCATCACCTCTCCACTACTTCCATCACTACCACCACTACCACTGCCCCACCATTACCATTACCACCGCCACCGCTACCATTTTTCTTTCACCACCACTGCCTTACTTTACCATTATCGTTGCCGCCACTCCACTTCGACTGCTGCCGTTCCACTACCACCACCAATAACACTTCACCTCTACTGAACCCATTTAAACCCCTTTATTAACGACCGTGCTAGGGAGCTCGAAAATGAGCTCCCCCGAATCCCAGAGGTGGGGCCATCAGCAGAGGTGGGGCTGCGACGGCGGGGCTGCGGCGGGCCGAAAATGGAAGAAAAAAGAAAAAAAAAAATAAATTTCTCAAAACGACGTCGTTTTGGGAATTAAGGGGATTAGGGGAGGCCAAATTCGAGCTCTCAAACATTATTCCTTTATTAAATAGGTAAGTTTGAATCGATTTCATTTGGTTTTAGTTTTTGAAAACTATTTTTCAAGTTTTAATCCTTATTTTTTTTAATTTTTAGTGAACTTTTTTAATATTTTAATCATTTTTAATTGATTAAAATATTAAAAAATTTTACTAAAAAAAATACTAATTTAAAACTCAAAAAATTATTTTCAAAAATTGAAACAAATTTTTAATACAAAACCAATTTTGACTCATCCAAACCCGTCCGTTTGCTACGTCTGCAATTAAAAAAAAAAAAAAAACTAAAATTATTTCCAAAATTCCCCTAACCCTTTTCTTCTTCTTCTCTTGCTCACAGTCTCTCATCTGGGGGTGTGCGCGGTGCGGGTCGGTACGGTTTGAGAGAAAAATAGAAACCGTATGGCGGGTGGTGGATTGATAAAAGTGTCACTAGAATTTGCCATTTTCCTTATCAAAAACCGGCGGTTCGGTTGGCAAATAATGGCGCATTTGCCTTGGCGGTTCGAGCGGATTGGCGGTTTATAAAAAATATAATTCAAATTACAAAACTTAAATCAAATAGTAAAAAAAAGACGAGAGATACCATGATGTTAAGCATCTTGCGAAGCTTTTTTCTGATGCAGCAAGTGTAGCAACAGCATGATAATATCAACGACTATGCCATTAGTTCATTACAAGCATCTGTGGAAGTTACAATGATCAAATACAATACATAAAATTCCCCTCGAGTAGTAATGTAATACTATATTCTAAGGTATAGAACAACAAGCAAACTTAAGTAAAAAAAAAATTTTAGAATCTTATAAAATATGATTTAATAGCGGTGCGGGTCGGTGCGGTTTGGAAGAAAAATAGAAACCGGCGGATTGATAAAAGTGTCACTAAAATTTGCCATTTTTCTTATCAAAAACCGACGGTTCGATTGACAAATAATAACGAATTTGCCTTGGCGGTGCGGTTTTGTGCGATTTTGGCGGTTTCGGCGGTATTATGCACACCCCTACTCTCAATGGGCCAAAAATTATCAAAATCTTATAAAATATGATTTAATAGCGGTGCGGGTCGGTGCGGTTTGGAAGAAAAATAGAAACCGGCGGATTGATAAAAGTGTCACTAAAATTTGCCATTTTTCTTATCAAAAACCGGCGGTTCGATTGAGAAATAATAACGAATTTGCCTTGGCGGTGCGGTTTTGTGCGATTTTGGCGATTTCGGCGGTATTATGCACACCCCTACTCTCTCTCTCTCTCGCTCACAACGGCGTGAGCAGCAGAGGCGGCGGGGTGCAGCGGCGTCTAGCAGTGAGAACATCTCTCTCAGCCGCTCATCTCTCTCTCTCTCTTAGCAGCATCTCTCTCTTTCTCTGTCGCGCGCTCACTAAGTCTCAATTGCCTCTCACTCACACTCGGTGGCTTAGAGCAGTGAGGTGGTGTAGAGCGACTGTGAGTAGCGGCGGCGGGTATGGGTCTTCTTCTCTTTTTTTCGATCCTCCTAGGTTCCCTCCAAGTAAGTCCCTCTGATTCAACCTATCAATCGTGGTGCTTACGACATCGTTTGGTAATCCCTCCTTCTCTCTCTCTTCTTCACTCTCTCTCCCTATATATATATGATATATGTGTGTGCTTGTGTAATAAAATGAAAGAAAACTCAATTTCACAGCTCAATTCCTAAATTTTGTTTTGTTTTAAGGAGTTCTCGTAATTGGGTTTTGATTTTATCTTTGCTTCTAAATGCCAATTGGGATGTATATACATGTGTGCGTTTGTATGTAATTATCTGTATATTCGTACCATTTTGTTTAAATGAGAAACCAGTACAAATTAAAGCTATGTTTGGATTATTTCCCTTTCGAAATCTGTACCCAAATCTATGATCTGAACAGAGGGTATGTGAAAATAAAAAATTCGGAGAAATTGTGATTGTAAATATAATTTTTTTTAATTGAAAATTTTAAAAAATATATATATATGTAAAACTTCAAAACTCATGTGCATTGTGCTTTACTGAGTTTTTTTGGCAACCAAACTGACTGTATTTGCTTCGAAATGCCAATTTGTAATGTGACATCAGGGTTCACTTGGAATTTTTTGTTTTTATTTTGATTTAGTATGGACTAAAGAACAGAAAAACGATCTCTTTTCCATTTCAACTTCCCAAGTTTTAATGATGCTATTTTCACTTCCAAGTTCCAAATGCCATTTTGAAATGCGATTTGATATAATGTCAACATATCGGTTTAAAAAGATAAGGGTAACTCATTCAGTTATCTCATTATAACTCTACTTAAAGATGATATAGTAAGTTAAATCAAAATTGCTCTTCTTAGTATAAAATGGTTATGCTTGACCATTTTTAACCAATACCTTTATAAGTTTTGTTTACGTTGTATACTTAAATCTAATCCATTGGTAAATACTACAATCAGTGAGTGTGATTTTGAAGCTTATTACCTATTTAAGATGCAAGGAATTGTGTTATTTGTTGCAGAGACATACATTTCTAATGGTCAGCATCACACCCAACATGTTTCTGCCTCAATATTTCCAAATCTCTTTTTCTCTCAATTTTACTTATAGCTGGGTGTGGGTTAAATTTATTTCCTTCTTGCAGTTGTGCAACAAATTCCAAGACAAAGGAAGAGGTTGCAATCAAGAGAATTGCGAATGCATTTGATAACAGGATTGATGCTAAAAGGATCCTACACGAAATCAAACTGCTTTGCCACTTGGATCATGTGTATGCTGTAAGATTGAGTAATAGAAATGTGAAAATTCTGCTATTTATATACTTATAATTTGAAAATTCTACTTCAAATAAAAATCAATTCAAGGTTTTTATATTTGTTCTCCAAAGAGTGTGGGTAATAAAGGAGAACTGGAAAAAAGAAAAAGAAAATGGGTACTAAAAATTAGAAAACAAAACAAATAGTGTGGACAAAGGAGTTTCAATTTTGTGTATTATAAATTTTATTGAATGTTAGTGCTCTTGGAAATTAAAACAGTTATAAAAATCCAATATAGTTTTTCTTCTACCGCTTGCTTATGATCTGTTACAGCTATAACTTTTGTATAATCTTCATGTTAAATATAATTAAGTTTAGGTGAATGTTTTTCTTTGAACACTTATTAGTTATTTTGTGTTTTTCTTTGAATGTTTTGGCCTCAAGTTTTGTGGATCTTGTAATCGAGTTTGATCTTAAGGTCACTCTTCTCAAAGGCCTAAGACAGGAATTGACAAGCAGGTATCTTCTACACATTGATATAAATATATACACGCATGGACACAATCACACACGTGGATGAGGTTAAGGGTGAGCCTACTGAAAACCCATAATGGTCTTAAGAGGTTGAGAGTGAACCTACTGAAAACCTGGATATGTTATATTTGTTGTATGGGTTATTGGTAGAGGTTGCAGGTGAACGTACTGAAAACATATATATTGTTTTATTTATTATGGCATTATTGAATGTTAAATGGAAATGCAATATCAAGAAAAAAGAAAAAGAAACATAACCAATTAAATATCTAGTACATTTTTATAAGTCATAATAATATATGTATGGATATAGGATGGGACTCCCGGTTTGAAAATTATGTAGAAAAACACACTTTTTCAAACTAAGTCCAAAAATACACTTTTTCAATACTTAGGCTGGAAAATAGGCCAACGGAGGCTAAAATCATGAAAAAGTCATGAGAAGGCCTCGATAACACCCCTAACACCTCAGAAGGGACCAATATAAGTTGTGAAAACTTACAGAATTAGTACGAGATTTTCGGTTTGAAAACTAAGTCAATAAATGCAATTTTTTAACACTTAGGTTTGAAAATAGGCCATCGAGGGCCAAAACTGTGTAACAGCCACAATTAGACCCGGGGAACACCTCGAACACCTCGGGAGGGACTAATGTAAGTTGTAGAAAATTATGAAACTAGTACGGGACTTTGGGCTTGAAAAATGCCCTTTTCTGCTTGAAAATAGGCCATCGAGGGCCAAGATTGTGAAACAGCCACGAAAGCTTGAGGAATACCTCGAACACCACGGAAGGGACAATTGTAAGTTGTGAAAACATACGGAACTAGTACGGGACTCCCGGTTTGAAAACTAAGTCTAAAAATGCAATTTTCTAATACTTAGACAGCCTCGAGAAGGCCCGAGAAACACCCCGAACACCTTGAGAGGGACCAATGTAAGTTTTGGAAACTTACGGAACTAGCACGAGACTCTCGGTTTGAAAACTAAGTAGAAAAATGCATTTTTTCCAACAGTTAGGCTTGAAAATAGGTCATCGGGGGGCCAAAATCATGACACGGCCACGAGAAGGCCTGAGGAACACCCCTAACACATCGGAAAGGACCATTGTAACTTATGAAAACTTACAGAATTAGCACGGGACTCCTGGTTTGAAAACTAAGTCAAAAAATGTGTTTTTCCAACACTTTGGCTTGAAAATAGGCCACCGGGGGCCAAAATCATGTAACAGTCATGAGAAGGCCCAGGGAACACCCTAAACACCTCGAAAGAGACCAATATAAGTTGTGGAAACTTACGGAACTAGCACGGGACATTTGGTTTGAAAAATACACTTTTTCAACACTTAGGCTTTAAAATAGGCCATCGGGGCTCAAAATCGTGAAACAGTCACGAAAAGGCCCGAGGAACACCTTGAACACCTCAGGAGGGTCCAATATAAGTTGTGAAAATTTACAAAACTAGTAAGGGACTCCCAGTTTGAAAACTAAATCAAAAAATGCACTTTTCTAACACTTAAGCTTGAAAATTGTTAAATTGTATATTTGATTGATAAGATAATAATTGTATTCCTTTTTTCTTTTCTCTTTTTTTTTTTCTTTTTTTCTGTTTTTTTTTTCTTTTTTTTTTTTTGCAGATTGGAGTTTATATATAGATGTGTTTGGTAATCTGGAGAGTAGAAACTTGCTCATTTTGTGTTTTTGATAATTTTACCTTACATGTAATTTGGTTGCGTTGTAAATTTTTTGTTTTTGTGGGTATTAGGGGGCATGTTTGGTAATCTGTACTTGATATTATATTTTTGTGAATATTATGAGACATGTTTTTTTGTGGATATTAGAAGACGTGTTTGGTAATTTGCAGTTGATATTGTATTTTTGTAGATATTATGAGACATTTCGACTGTGGTATTTATGAAAATGAACAGATGTTTGTATTGATCTGTAATAGATATTTTATCAAACATGTTATTAAAATGCGCAGGGAATTTTTAGTGAAAAGAAAAATTGAAAATTGAAAATTGAAAATATTATCCTCATTTAAAAAAAATTTAATTATTATTAGCGTCAAAATAAAAAACCGTTGCTATTAGTTTTCAAACATTACGAATAATTTTGTCACATTTGCTGAATATTTTGTCACTAAATTGAAATATTTGGTGACAATTTTTTTTTTTTTGTCATTGAAGAATTTTGTTTTGTACTAATTTTAGTGACGAATTTTTTTATCACTTTAATCTATATCATTGATGAGGATAAATTTCTAAAACCACTATCTTCATATATTGGTGACGAAATATTTTATGGACAAAACAATTAAAATAAAATATTATCTAATTCTAGTGACAAAATTGATGTTATAGAGCACGAAAAATGCAACATTTAGAGATGAAAAATTTCGTCGCCAAAAATGAAAAATAGGCGACGAAACGATTATTTGTCACTATAACTACTTTCAGCGACAACGCATAGACAACAAACGTGGTGACAAAATTATTTCGTTGCAGATCACTTTGGTGACAAAAATTTGGTGCTTGGAGACAAAATGAGTTTATCATCAAAAAAAATTTTTTGTTGTAGTGATTGTTCTTATACTTACATAAAAAGTAATTATAAAATTGAACATAATCTAATAATTTTTGTAGAGTTAAACTTTTTTCATAAATGGATTCACATAGATAGAAAAGAAGAGACCATTGATGAATTAGTTATGTACGTTAGCAAAATTTAAATATTAATGCTATGACTATGTTTAGTAACGTTTATGCTTAAATTTTTTTTTTTAAATTTTAAAACTTAAAACAAAAATTATTTTAGTATCTACTTTCTTTTTTCTTTTTTAAATATAAATATTTTACAAATTTCACTAAATTACAATAAAAAATTTATTTTCACTTGTTATTTTGAAAACAAGTCAACCACCGCTATTATTGGTAACCATCTTTGTTGAGTCTCCGTCACCTCACCCAAATTTGTTTGTTGACAAATCACCTCTAACCACAACATTCGGCCACAACAAATCACCTTTGGCCATTATCTCTTGTCGAAAATCACTTTAAACTCAAATGTTTTTAAAAAATAAAAATAAAATTGAAATGTATTTTTTATTTTCATTTTAACAAAAAAGCAAAAACATAAACACGTTTAAAAAATAATAAATGTAACAAAATTTAGTTTTGGCATATCAATTTGGAAATTCAAGAAAGAAATAGCATATCCAACTTGTGTAGAAGTGGTGGCACAGGAGATGCGTGGGCATATGATAAAATTGTGGATAGTCTTATCTGAATTTAAAATTTGAAAATTGAAACAAGCTTGAATTGAAAATTGAAAAAAATAAATAAAAATGAAGCAGTTGAATAGATAGTTATGATCTTCTAGGACTATTTTGGAAAAATCTAAAAACTATGACTTTTCCAATTCCAGGGTTTGTTTTATATCTATCTATTCTATTATTAAAAGCCAACACCAATTTTGGTGTCATGAAGCCACTTCTCAAATTTTTTTTCCAATTTTCCCTAAAATGGCCTTAACTTTTTACACTTACGTCAGTTTTAATTAGGAATAAAATGATAAACTAAAACATTCAATTTCACTTTCTCACTTTCCACTCTCCACGTCTCCTTATTGCTGAAAAGTTCTGAATCAGTTACTCCCCACGTCTCCAATCAAGAAAGAAATAGCATATCCAACTTGTGTAGAAGTGGTGGCACAGGAGATGCGTGGGCATATGATAAAATTGTGGATAGTCTTATCTGAATTTAAAATTTGAAAATTGAAACAAGCTTGAATTGAAAATTGAAAAATGAAAAAAATAAATAAAAATGAAGCAGTTGAATAGATAGTTATGATCTTCTAGGACTATTTTGGAAAAATCTAAAAACTATGACTTTTCCAATTCCAGGGTTTGTTTTATATCTATTCTATTATTAAAAGTCAACACTAATTTTGGTGTCATGAAGCCACTTCTCAAATTTTTTTTCCAATTTTCCCTAAAATGGCCTTAACTTTTTACACTTACGTCAGTTTTAATTAGGGATAAAATGATAAATTAAAACATTCAATTTCACTTTCTCACTTTCCACTCTCCACGTCTCCTTATTGCTGAAAAGTTCTGAATCAGTTACTCCCCACGTCTCCAAACTGCTGTGCAGTTAAATTAGTATCAACATCTTCACCGAAAAGTTCTAAAAAAACATGCTTTTCATGAAACTGCATCTGTTTTGATGGATGCTAGGCAGAGTCTCTTTCGAAAGTGTCCCTACAAATATGTGATTGGTTGTAAATGCCCTTTGATGATGTGGAGATGGGTTACAAGACCCTAGGTTCCAGATGGATTCACAATCACATTTTATAGAAATTGCTGGGTTTGTACAGAGAGATTTCTTGGGTTTCTATTTCCTATTTGGCATGCTTTTATATTTTTCTATTCAATCTTATAAATGGGAGTTGGTGCAATTTATTTATTTAGTTCCCTATTTCACTTCGTTAATTTTTGGTTTGTTTCTATTTTGTATGTTTCTTTCCCTGTTTCACTTTGTTTGTTTTCCCTATTTTTTGAACTCAATTTTTTTAAGATTCTACGTTTCAATTTGACCAACGTGTGGAGTTTTAGTAAAAATTGGTATATAAGTGCATTTAATTGCTGTGATTTTATTTTTAAATTGTTAATTATTTTTTGTGCATATCAAATTCAATGTTATTATTTATTTTTCTTTATATCTATCAAATCTATTTGACTATGAGTGTTGTAAGTGTCTTGGATTTATACTTTTTTTATTTTGTGTGCTTCTGTATATTTATATTTAATTTTTTTCCGAAAAGTTGTGAAGCCTAAAATGTGTACAATTTGGTTTGGGATTTTTCGTGTTTCACTTTTTTAAGTTTTTGTTTATTTTTGTGTATAAATTCATTTTTATTTTTAAATTTGGTTTGTTTATGTGTGTTTTAAAATACAAAAAAACCACTGTTCTATGTGTTTTGGATTTGTATTTTTTTCTATTTCGTGTTATGTTCAATTTTTTTTTTTTTTAAATTGCGAAGCAAAAAATGTGTATAAATTTTTAGACTTAAAAAGTTTGGGGCTTTTTTCCTATTTAACTTTTTTAAGCTTTTGTTTACTTTTGTGTATAAATTCAGTTTTTGAAAATTTTGTTTGTTTGTTTACCTAATTTTGTGTGTGTATGTATTTTTTATTTTTAAAAATCAATGTTCTTAATTTTGTATTTGTGTGTTTATAATTTATGTTTTGAAAAAATTAGTTTGTTTGGGTGGTTAATTTTGTGTGTGTGTGTGTGTCTTCAACAAAAAAAAAATAAAAAATAAAAATATTATGTTTTCAATAAAATTGGTTTATTTGTTTGCTTAATTTTATGTCTTCAAATTTAATACCAAATGTTACATTGTATATAATTATTCATATGATTATTAGAAAAAATAATATCAAATTTATATTATAATTCTAAACGAATTTGCACACGCATTGCGTGTGCCTGCCGCTAGTAATTAAATAAATAGATAGTCTAGTAGTTTAGATTTTGAAATTTGCGACAGAAATATATAAAGGAAAGAGAAAATTAATTTATATTTAATTTATTTTTTCCCCCTCATTGGTGTTTTTATCTACAAATCATTAGTGTAAATCTAAAGCGGTTGCTCGTCTTCACGGAGAAATAAGAACACTACAAATTCAAGTTAATTTTCACCTTTCATTTATTTACTCAATATTTTTTTAAAAAAGATTTGAACAATATTATATCTATTTAAATTCTTATTAATAATGATGTCAAAACATTATTGGGTGTTTAAATATTATTATTTTTTAACAACTAATTACATTTGACTTCTTGTATTTTTAATAAGATGATTAATATATGTAGAATTATTCAAAATATTTTGAGATTGTATTTAGTTTAGAAATTATAGGAAGAACAAAGATTAAGAGGTCTAATTTTAGAGTTATAGAGAGAGCGCTCTAATGATGTGATAAGGAGTAGGACCCACATATAATGTGATGTGTGTGCTTATATTTTTATTTATTTATTTTTCTTTATCATATCACTAAAACTCTATTTAGAATTTTGAAGGGATTTTTATTGAAAAGTCCAATTTAGAAGTGTTTTAACCCAAGAAGTCCATGAAGGAATTTTTTAACCCATTTAGTCCCATGTATGTATAGTTTTATTCCATAAATTCCATTTTCTTGATTTATACTATTTTCTTGGACACTTATGCCCTTATATTTAATTTTGGTACTTGATTTTGATACCCTTATAAATATTTTTTGAACGATTAGCAATTTAATGATGTAAACATTCATATTTTAAAATTCACATTGGTAGGAATGTAAAATTACCCGTGGGCAGCCCGAAACCCGCTCGCGAGCTAGGGCGGGCCCGGCCCGTTGACAATGTGAATATTCACATTGACATGTTAACATTCACATTGATAAGAGTGTAAAATTGGCCCGCAGCCCGTGGGCGGCCTGAAGCCTGACCGCAGCCCGATGCGAGCTTGGCCCGACTCGTGACAATGTAAATATTTATATTGACATGTTAACATGCACATTGATAGGAGTGTAAAATTAGCTCGCGCCCCGTGGCTGCCCGAAACCCGCCCATGGCCCGTGGGTGGCCCGGGGCGAGCCCGGCCCGGCCTGTTGACAATGTGAATATTCACATTGACATGTTAACATTCACATTGATAAGTGTGTACAATTGGCCCATGACTCGTGTGTAGCTCGAAGCCTGATCTCAGGCCGGGGCGGGCCCGGCTTGTTGGCAATGTGAATATTCACATTGACATGTTAACATTCACATTGATAGGAGTGTAAAATTGGCCCGCAGCCTGTGGGCGGC